AAAAGCATAATCGATAAGAATGGAGACTATTTCATTTAATAACCGCTTTGTTTTTATAAACAAGTTATCGGGTTTTTCATCTAAAAAAAAGAGGCATTAATTTCTTGACGACCTAATATATCGGAGAAACAAGCTGAAGAATGGAAACCAGTTTCAATAAATACGGAAAAACACCTTTCCACGTTTTTCAACACTGCTAATCAAATAAATGCAACATAACCATAGAAAACACCAACATACTAAGTATAGAAATAAAGACAAACAAACGCAAAATCAAAGAAGTCCTACTTATACAAGAACTTAAACCAAAATTGAACCAACATAAAGGAAAACCTTTATACCTATATTAATTAATCACCTAACATCTAACTGCTACGTCCCCTACAATTTCGTACTCGTTCACAATCTCGTCCCAAAGACATGTGCCCAGTAACGGTCAGTTTCAAACTGTCTCTGTTAACCTGAAGATTACTTAAGAAGGTCAAAATTTTGTTCTTATACTTTATTTTAATTCAAGTTTTTAATACCCATACCAGCCGTCTCTGCTATACATTTTTACTTCAAATGGGTTTCTCGTCATCACGAATAAAGCGGTAGTGATAACGTTTAACACACAACTCAGTTTTCTTGTAACTCATTTGTGTTAAGCATAAAGCGTTAGTCATAACATTTAACACACAACTCACTTTTACTGTACCTGCCATAACCTGGTAGTTAGACACTCGACTCGTAAACTGCAGGTTATGGGTTCGAATCTCGTCACCGAACATACTTTCCCTTTTAGCCGTGGGGGTGTTAAAATGTAACAGTCAGTCCCACTATTCGTTGGTAAAAGAGTAGCTCAAGAGTGGGCGGTGCGTGTTATTAACTAGCTGCCTTCCCTCTAGTCTATCACTTCTAAATTAGGGACGGATGGAGCAGTTAGCCTTGGAGTAGCTTTGCGAAAAAAATAAATAAACAAACGGTTTTACTATAAATAAAACAGTGGTGATAATATTTAACGCACAAATTCAGATTCGCTAAACACTTGAGCGCAACTCACATTTTCGTGATCTTACTATATATATATATATATTGTTAATAAAGAATAAAATAATATGTGATTCAAATATACACTAAAATAGATTATGCTTCTTGTGGATCTACGAAATAAACACAGAGCTGCTAGCGTGGCTTGGGACTTAACTAGGATAATAATGACGATGTGTTACCTGACATATTCCCGAGATGGGGGAAGAACAGAATCCGATGACGTTTCAGGTTCATAGCTAAACATTCCGTTCTGAAGTGGTGTAGTAAGGAGTGACAACCTTTCTTCATAGTCCTTAGTGTCTCTGAGACCAGTCGACAGAGGCAGAGATAGTGATGAAGAAGCAGTCCTGTCCTTGTAACGGAAAGCGGGTCGATGTCGATAGTGGCCAGGCTGCCTTCTATTAGGACGGGACTTTCGACCCATTAACCCTGCGGTACACTGACTAAACATGTGAGTACAGATGAAGTTTGTTATCGCATCATCAGAACAGAAACTGAACTTACGTTATCCCACCACTGGAAATCAAACAGTTTTGGTTACTGTATCCTTCTTTACCTCAATTATTACACAGTCAAAAACGACAAGTTTCAAGGGCGATAATTTGAAATTCATTCTTAATCATTTAAATTTTTAGATCGTATTATACTTAGGCAACAATTGACGTGATATATTTCTTAGATTCAAAACAGAAATTATGAAACGCAACATTACTTTCAGCCTCACGGCTGTCATAGATATCGTTGCTTCTAACACAGCATCCTATTAGTCGTAGAAGTTCGTAGGTGTAAAATATAATGCTTACAACACTACGAAGGAGCTCCAGCTGTTGTTTGGCCAGCTCTTCATAAGTATCGTATTAAAGACATTCAAGTTCCCATCGCCCACTTTTAACAGCGTGTAACTCCTAAACGAGTTTAGGATTCTCTAATTAGTCATTATCGCAGTTAGCCAGTTACATCACGCAGCAAAGAACGATGAACGGAGCATGGTGTGATAAAAATGTAATAGCAGAGGATCACGGGAAGTATGGTTGTATCTTTTACATGAGACCAAACTCTCTAACACTAGTATATAAAACCTGTCAGAAACGTTGGCGGGACTGAACTGTACGTCAGTAAAGGCAGATAGTAAGAAAAACATGTGCACTGTGCCATACCTTGAAAACGACTAACAACTAACGTAAAAATCCACTTCAAGGTGTATTCGGTACACGTCTTGTTAAACAATAATTTGAGGTTTATTTGGTACATGTCTGGTTATATACATTAATTCCAGATTTATTTGATACACGTTTAGTTAAACAATAATTCCAGGTTTATTCGGTGCATGTCTAGTTAAATAATAATTCCAGGTTTATTCGGTACACGTCTAGTTAAACAATAATTCCAGGTGTATTCGGTACATGTCTGGTTATATACACTAATTCCAGATTTATTTGATACACGTTTAGTTAAACAATAATTCCAGGTTTATTCGGTACACGTCTAATTAAAAAATATTTCCAGGTTTGTTCGGTACACGTCTAGTTAAACAATATTTCCAGGTTTATTTGGTGCATGTCTAGTTAAACAATAATTGCATGTTTATACGGTGAATGTCTAGTTAAACAATAATTCCATGTTTATACGGTGAATGTCTAGTTAAACAATAATTCCATGTTTATTCGGTACAAGTCTAGTTAAACAATAATTCCATGTTTATTCGGTACAGGTCTAGTTAAATAGTAATTCCAGGTTGAGCTGCTTTCACAATACGTAATACCTCATGCTCTTCATGAATTGACTACTGCATTTTATCCTAATATTTCTTGGGGTGTTGAGAGAATAAAACCAGGATAAATTCACTGAGTGATCAATTTGATGACGTCAGGAGAAGTCCTTTATTGTATGAATCAATTATATATAGTTAAAACTTTATCATCCGGTATTTTCTTATACCGAAAGCTCTTGTAACCGGAAATTTCAATACCTCGATATACAAAAGCTCATTATAGCCTAGTGACGCTGCTGTGGCTTTGTTTACGTTCTGTTCTGCCGGTAAACTTCAGTTGTTAGCCGTATGTAAAATACTATCTATAATGTTATATATATGTATATATACAGCTTAATGCTTTTACAACATTTACTATTGTTTAAAACTGATATTGTTATAGATAATGTAGAAATAGTATACTTTTGAACATTAACAAGGTGTCAAAAGTTTTCCTGTAAAATATCGTAACAGGAATTTTCGTTTATCTGGCACTGCCAAGGTCTGACAGATGCCAGATGATAAAGCTTTTACTGTGTAGATAACGGCTGAAGCCGTGTATTTCATATCCTCACGAATAACATTCAGCTATATACTCTGTAGACACAGCTAAAAACGGATGAATTGTTAAAGGAGAAAAAATAATGAAAATTTATTGTATATGACTGTCATAATGTAATACTCTAAACACGTTATTATTACTTCGGTAATGTTATAAATGTAACATTTTGTTAGCAATTTAGTAATGTAGTTCTTAATAACTTTGAACCAAAGTAAATTAAGTATGTAGGACAGAATTAAAAAGTGATTATAAATTAATGAAGCAACTTCAATATCACAAACTGATTCGAAGTACATAATTTCATGAATCAATACACAATAAAACTAAACCTATCATGATTAAAATGCATTAATTCAGTGGTATCACTATTTTCGATACTGTCGGTCGTAATTCCAATCATAAATCTTAGATTAGCTCAGCTTAGGAAATTTAGATAACCTTTATAAAAGTCAATAATAACAATATTCAAAATTATTTTATGTAATAGAAATATAGTAACTAGTGCTATTTTAGTGATGTTATAAGTCTTGGTACCATGGGTCAGGCGTGGCCAAGTGGTTAGTGTCCAATCTGTAAATCAAAGGATTCATGGTTCGTATAAGAGTGACGGTCAAATCCCACGATTTGTTTAGAGTAGTCTAATACTTGGCTGTTGGAGATGCTTTTCCTCTAGTTTAACAGTTCACAATTAGGAACAGCTGGAGCAAATAGTTTTGTGTAGATATCGCGAACATTCGAACTAAACAATCTTACCACCTAATTGTTACTTCAGTAGTGGAATGTTTAAAATATAACCAAGTTTTTATTGTTTTAGTAATGTTATTAATTTAGTTACTTTGCTACAAGCTTGTTTATCATACTAATAGTAACATATATATATCTTATATTCTACATTACCAACTTCTGCAACAAACCAACAATGACTTTACTAATTTATGCTTTTCAGTTCAAGTTATCTAAGTTCCTAACTACTGAAAAGTGCTAGTTTACTTTCTTCAATAATGGGAAAAGGTGAACGAATCATACTTGTACAGCAGGATGAAAGCGAGATGAAACACCAACGAACTCTCAACAAAAGAGTTAGAACAATTGCCCGTTATTTGTTTTTATGCGAGTGTGAAAAAAATCTTAAGAATTGTAAAAAATAATGACGTACGGGCACTTACAAATTGTTACCCAACAGAGCTACTGATAAATTGGGTAACATAGATTTGTGTTATATACTCATTGCTAATTTTCTTGAATTACATATTTATAATCCTATACATTCTCCTGATATGGGTCAATATTCTTTGGACAATATGTTTACATTCCTAGCGACACTTACATTGATCTAACTCTTAGAACAATCAGTTATGAAACAACGCTGGTACAAGATGTGTCTCCAGCCATGTCCTGATTACTATATACACTTTGTTTTTTAGATAAGGAACAATATACACAGATCTTGGAAAGAGAAGTACATTACTCAAATCTTATGTAATTTAATGTTGTTGATTTATGATGCCTGAAAGTTATTCAAGCGCAACGTAATGACTTTTCCCTTAGAGTTGATATTCAGTGACAATAACAGTTTTCCGTGCTAGAAAGAACATTGTTTTACTATTTAACGCTACACATACCATGTGGTAACCTTATACGTTTGTATAGAAAAATCAAATTAATTCACCTGGTATTATACACAAAAATTCTATTTGATGACTCGCTAATATTACTGGAACAAGAAAATGTCAAGAGCCTCAAAACGAATATGGGCCTTAACCATGGCTTTTATACATAAGCTGCTTGACGATTTCTCCTGCCAGACTTAATTCCACTTTGAACATTTACGGTTTGTTAAATTGGTCAGTTGATTAGTTAGAATAATTAGGGTATTGACAAGTATATATATTCTATGTCCTGCTGAATTAGAAATATGAAGTATTAAATATTTGATACTCAAACTCATAATTTATGTTTAGATATAAAACAAGAAATTGTGCTATCGATATAACATTGTTTAGAGTAGGTGTCAAAATATTAACTGCTCTAATATCATAATTCTAGGTTCATTTTCCATATAAGTCTTACGACTGGAGAATAAACCATAAAAATAATGCACCTTCAAGCAGTTTATTCCCACATTTGACATGTTTGTCCAATACGCAATGTAATTTGATTTTGACTTCGATTTTTTTCTTACACACACACACACACACATATATATATATATGGAAGAGGTTTTCATTCCAAAAATAATTCAATATAAAGATTTTGTTATTGTGGATCAAGAGTATTATGATAATATAGTTTCAGAACATCTAAATGATAAATATACTTATAAAGATATGTCCTCCATAGATAGTTCAAAATTTGTAAATAAAGTAAAAGAAGAACTTAAAGAATATATATATAAAAGAAGTTAAATATGCATATACTAAGTAAGAAAACGATTATTTGTTGAGTAATTATAAACTGAGAACATTTTTTAAATTCTGTAAATATAAAACGTTGAATTTAATTATTTATTAAATTTTAACCCTGTTAAAGCTTCACAATAGCCTATCTATGCTCTACTCGCCGCGAATAGCAAAACCCGATTTTCAGCGATATAAGCCATCAGAATTATTACTGAGCCAATTAGGGCCCTTATAGAAATAACTGAATAATATTTTCAAATAATGAGGGTGAAAAAAAAAATATACAGACAAGCAGTTGCCACAGATACCCAGCTGGCGTTAAGATGCCACAGAAAAAAAAACAGACAAGCAGCTGCCACACATACCCAGCTGGCGTTAAGATGTCACAGAAAAAACAAAACCAAGACAGACAAGCAGCTGTTGCAGATACCCATCTGGCGTTAAGATGCCACAGAAAAAAAAGCAGACAAGCAGCTGCCACACATACTCAGCTAGCGTTAAGATGCCAAAGAAAAAAAAACAGACAAGCAGCTGCCACACGTACCCAGCTGGCGTTAAGATGCCACAGAAAAAAAAACAAAACAAACTCACAAGACTTAAAAGATAAAAATCTATTAGATAAAGTATTGGTGAAATAAGCTTATGAGATATTTTGGCATAACCTTACTGATGTCCAAATCCATCTTGAAAATATGCTGAAGGCATAGGTGACAAATGTGCATGTCAATACCCAAATCCATCAATGAAATGTTATGAAGGCATGTAATGCCACAATACGTGTTAATATCAAATTTCGGCATGCTGATCAAAACCAATCGCTTTTTAGTTTGTGTAAATT